TTAAAAAAATATATTAGCATTTTTTTAATTATTTTTTTTATATTTTTAAGAATTGTTGAAATAATTAAAAATAACAAAATTTATTTGAATATGAGCTATAGATAAAAAAAATGAAGATAGATAAAAAAAATATTATTATTATTATTATTATTATTATTATTATTATTATTATTATAATTAATAATATAAGTATCTTTTGTTAGTTTATATCCAATATATTATTTTAAATATTATCTCTAATCAGGTAAAATACATATTTTTTGTTATTTGTAAATAAAACATAAGAATTCAATGTGGATTATAGTTATAGTTTTTTTTAATCTATATGTAATAAAAATACATATGTGTACCGAATTTCAGCTTAATATGTTTATATATGTTAATATTAATGTGGATTATAGTTATAGTTTTTTTTTAATCTATTTGTAATAAAAATACATATGTGTACCGAATTTCAGCTCAATAGGTTTATATATGTTAATATTAATCAATTATATTTCTTATATATATTTTTTTTATAAAAAATGAGTTTTATTTTGGTGTACGGAACCCTCGATCTTAATGCGAGTGCAACTCGCACTTGCCCGATTTTTTTTTATTTTCGCGTCCGCCATATTGGATCCGCCATCTTGAATTTTGAAAATCTGATGCCAGATTCGTATTCAGCGACCCCAAAAACCCCAGAGTAACGAGTTCCAAGCAAATTCTGTTCATTTTTTATTTTCGCGTCCGCCATATTGGATCCGCCATCTTGAATTTTGAAAATCTGATGCCAGATTCGTATTCAGCGACCCCAAAAACCCCAGAGTAACGAGTTCCAAGCAAATTCTGTTCATTTTTTATTTTCGCGTCCGCCATATTGGATCCGCCATTTTGAATTTTGAAAATCTGATGCTAGATTCGTATTCAGCGACCCCAAAAACCCCCGAGTAACCAGTTTCAATAGATTTCAAAGAAATGAAAAATGTATGACTCAAAGGGTTAAGCCCCAGAATCGTCTCAATTTGAGAATATTACGAGGTTTATGGAAATCAAGAATTGCTTTGACCCTATCGGGAAGAGGTCTAACACCATCCTTATCGATCGAATATCCCACAAATTCTACCTCGGAATGACCAAATACACACTTTTCTAAATTCAAGCGAAGAGATGCCTCACTCAAACGACCAAAAGCGATTTTCAAATGACGTTCATGTTCCTCAGCAGATACAGAAGCTACCAGGATATCATCAATATACGAAAATACGAAATCAAGATCGCCCAACACTCGATAAATGTAGCGTTGGAACGTTGCACCAGCATTCCTCAGTCCGAACGTCATGACCGTGGACTTAAACAAACCAAACGGTGTTATAATGGCGGTCTTCGGAACATCATCCGGAGCGATAGGAATCTGATTATACGCGGCGTGAAGGTCTAGTTTTGAAAAAATAATCTTACCAAATAAAAATTGCCGAAACATCCTGCACGAAAGGGACAGGATATTTGTCAGGAGTTGTTCGTTCACGGGGAAAAGAGAAACGTTGGGTTAATACCGATTTCGAATTGGATGAACAGTTTTTCGGTGCTGTTTTAACAGAGGCGACATCTGTAGTATAATGTATGTTGTATTAATGTTACCTCGTAAGTGAGTTTGATTCCGAAAGGTACTGTCAGGCGATGGTATGTTGATTCATCTTACCATTAGCCGTTGAATTAACGTACTATATCAATTTATACATCAAAATAAATAATATTTAAGAAATAATTATTTAAAACATGAATTGCGAGTTAAATACACAAGAAATTAGAACTCGAACACTCACTTTTCAATTCTTGATGACTTCTTACATTTACAGAAACACTTGGCTAATCCATTGTGAAAGATAATTTCCGCAATCATCAAAAACATTTACGACTATATAAAAATATACGCAGCTGGTCAGTCAATTTTCATATACGACCATAACTTAGCTGATCAGTCATAATTACACACGCGCTGCGCATGCGCAAGCAGTCATATTTCTGGTCAAGCAAAGTTATCGTGGTAAGTTGATTTAACAGGTGGACCTGTGTTAATTCAATGTCATTGCCGTGAAGTAGGTCCAGTTTGTTAGATCAACGTTTCTCTTTTCCCCGTGTTCATTAACACAACGGTAGTCGCCACACACTCTCCAACCACTCCCTTTTTAGGAGCCATATGGAGTGGCGAAGCCTACGATGCACATAATTGACGATACTCTCTTGATTCTAATATCTCGCGAAAATGATTCTTTGCAACAATCAATTTTTCGGGAGACAACTAACGAGCCCTTTCGGCTACAGGAGGTCCGTTAGTAATAATGTGATGCATAATACCCTGCGATGCATAATACCCTCCCGTCAAGGTCGGAAATTTGACTAAAATTTTCATATAGGTATTCGATTTATCTACCACACTATAGCCTGTCGAGGAATCTAAAGAATGTCAGAATTAACATGGTTACAACACTTACTCCAATGCAAGATGACAATCCTATTTCACAAACTGTATTAATTCCGGAATGAGAATCAATCAATTTGCGCCCACGAAGATCTACATTTAGACCGTATGCCGACCATACATCTGACCCCAAAATAGGATAGGGCACAGATGCTATTCTCAAATATTATACAATCATTCGCGGCATAAAGAACAGACTGGGCGGGTCTCCTTTTTGTATTGTGATCAGCCGGAATCAAGGATATGTCAGAACCGGAATCAACTAAAAAAGTTAAACCGGATTCTCGATCCTTAACGAAAAGGCGTTTTGAAATGGAAGTAGAATTGATCTTGATTGTGTGAGGTGTTGATTCTAGTTTTCCGAAGGTGGTCGGCATTTGTTAGTGTTATTGCTAAATTTTTTTAAGATAAAAACAAATTTTCGAGATCGAGATATATCACGGCTTCGATTAAAATTTCTATTACTTTTAAATTTTCCGTTATCTCTAAAATTTCTAGTTGATAGCGAGTAGAGGCGTTGAGACAATTCGTTTAATTTATCCTTAAGATCGTTATTATTCTCAATAGACGACACCGATCCACCATAGATAGGTCCATCTGTTTCAAAAGAATTACACGGATGACATCATCGCTACACCGATTACGACTAAAAGATAACGAATTCTGTTCAAAATGGCAAATGGTTTTCCGTCGCCGAGAATTTCTCCTTTTAAAATACTACGTAATTCGCTTTCGGGTAAAGACGAAAAATTTTCAATCAATCTATTTTTAATTCGCGTGTAAAGATTCGGAATGGGTTCAGCCGATATAATAGGATCCCCGATAATCTGAATGACATCGCAATCCATGGCAGCCAAAATGGCACCAGAACGAGCTTTTTCTGATGTGAGTTGGGCATAATCAAACATGAGTTCTGTCTGAGCGAACCATAATGCAGGTTCATTACGAAAAAAGTACAAAGTTTTGGAAAACAATAAAAACAAATTACAAAACATGAAAATATTTAATGTCCGAGAAACGAGATAAAAAACAAAATTAAAACAAAAAGACGAAATATTTATCAAGAATGGGATAATTAGCAACACAGAAACATCAAACACACAATGCTTTGAAGACGTCAAAATCAAAAGCGAAACGATTTGTTTAAAGTATTTTAAAATAACGCGTTATATATTTTTTCATTAAAATAATAATAAATTCTGAATTAGATATCACTAATTTTGAAATAAGAATGATTAGACATAACCAAATAAAATTGTCAATATAATTCAGTGTATTTAAAACAATACGCATTTTATAAGTAGAATTTAAAATAAGATGCGCGAAATTTATAAAAATTTAACCAAATAAATTCATTTAAGTAGACATAGAAAAAATATATTATTTTTCTTTTGAGAAGTCGTTTAAGGGGACACCCTAGTCACCTAAAAACAATGCAAAAAGAGTCAACTTTCGGTACACTTTTCTCGAGAACTATTATTCCAATTGCGTTCGCCCTTTTTTCATTCGATTACAAATATAATCAATTATATGAATAAGAAGTAATACGACGTTATCTCCAATAGAAACTTTTTTATGAATATTTATACTCAAAGCAAAATAAAAATCCCATTTTCTCTGATTCATTGACTCTTATCTCCGTTTGAACAACTCAAAATGATGTTAAACTTCTTATTCGTATTCTTGGAACCATACTGAACAAAGTAAAAAAAAATTATAAATCGGTTTAGTAGATTCGGAGAAAAGTGTACCGAAAGTTAAAAAATTGGAAAAAAACATTTTTACAGGAGACACGAAAAAAGAAAAAATACTAAAAACTCATGGTATTTAGAATCATGTAATCAGATTTTTTCTACTTTTTAGAAAAGGTTTTAAAAAGTCTTGTTCTATTCCTAATTGAGTCTACTTTTAGAAAATTAAATTTAAAAAAATCGATTTTTTTGTCATTTTTCCACTTAGGTGTCCCCTTAAATATATTAGACGATTTAAATTAAACCTTTGCGAAAATTATAGTTACTCGATTTCGTCAATGTAAATAAGAAAGGTCGCGATCAAGGACATTCACACTATTCACGGACAATAAATAAAATAAAACGATGACTCCAAAAATGATAATCCCACATGCTGCGTACTCTCTCCCTACGAAAAAATGACCGGAAATGAGGATGACGAAATCCATATATGGGGTCATTTACTAACTATGTCACGCTTTTTCGGACTAATTTTGACCCCCTCCCATCCCTTCGTCACATTTTTTACATACAAAAAAAAAATTTCCACACTTCTTCACACACAGCTTGACACCTCCCCACCCCTAGGAGTGTGACGTAGTTTGTGAACGACTCCTATGCTTTTATGATTTAGAGCCTGGGATCCTCCTTTTTTAAAAAAAGGTCGTCACAAGGTAACTCTCAGCGTTATTCCTCGCTCCGGACATCACTCGAACATTTTTCATGAAAGAAAAAAAAAGAAATAATTTTAGGGGAAGGAAGCCTAAAAACTATTAGTTTGCAAAACAGGTTTTAAATGCGTTACGCACCTGCTGCATGGGCTCAGAATGGAGATGCCCATGCGCTATTTTCAGAAAGCATACAATCTTTTGTGACACCTTGTCTCACCGCATCCGGAACCAGAAGTAAGCCTCTCGATAATACAATTCCGTTTCCGAGAATGAACAGGTTCTTGATCTCCTTGGCGGCATCCGGTCTTGAGTACAACCTCCGTCACTGCAGTCAAATGGTTATCAATGTTGGTCACACAGGACAAAAATTTTTGAACAAAAATACTTTCGTATTTTCTCAAGGCGAGTTGTCAAAAATGCAGGATTCTTTGAAGGTGGAGAATGTCCTGATACGAGTCTGCCACCGAATTAAACATGGCGGCGTCGAAGTAGAAACATGTGCTCGTCCATAAAAAGTTGAAAATTCATGATAACATATGTTGAGCACTCCACGAATTAATGTAAAAAAATGTTATAAAAATGTTTAATATCAATCAATTTAAAACCATAAGTGGATTGATTTAATTTCCCATAATATTTATGGATTCACTTTTGACCGACGCTATCCCGATCACGTCGGGGTCACCAATTGTGGGAATTTTGTTTTTAATTAAATAATTAATATTTATAATAGTTTCCCATTATACTGTTCGGGATAATTGACAGACAATTATTTAAAACTCAACAAATATAACTTTATCATTATTACTCTAATATTTTGTTACAGAAATATACTATAGTCGTCTGTATAGTCTCGAGACTCTTTTTACAATGAATACACTTCGTTTGTACTTATCCCACTCTTCGTACGGAGAGATAACAGCGAGAGAGGGGAAGCTATAGACTTGCTATTCCCCACAACGATACATGCTTGTACGTTTAAATGTATATCGGTAAACTAGTTTTTAGTAAAAAATATTAACAGGTTCCCGAGATATTAAAAAACGATCGTACCGTGCAAAGCGAAATTTTCAACCATCGACTCTTTTAATTTGCCGTTGAGTCAGTTACGTGGCTGTGAAAGTCAGGGTGGAAAATTAATTTTATCAAGTAAATCTGTTACGTATGACTTCGTAACATTTTTATCATGGGTTAGATTTTCTCAAGTGGACCTTAAATATTCAAAAGTTGAAATTTATCAGTGTAAATGTGCAAAAAGATAGTTCTATTAGAGTCACGAATAACCTGTAAATTTTATTAAAAAATATTCAATTGTTTATTTGTTATAAACAACTGAAATTTTATACATAACATTTTTAAAAAATGCATAACTTTTAAAAAAATTGACGAAACTTGATGATTCTTTTTGAAAATAACCTATGAAATTCCAAACTTTATAAAAATAATTTTTTCTCCATCGAAGCTCTTAATTTGATATAAAAAATAATTATTTATTATAAACAAATTAAAAATAAAACGTGTTCTGGATAACCATATTCAATTTTATAAATAAGGACTTTAAGAGAATTTATTAAGGATTGCATATCAAAAAGAAAAAATTGTTTCAAGAAAATATTTTATTAATTATGAATTTTTTGTAAGCGCGCGCAAGCTCCGTGATGTGGGCTCCCGCGTCTGACGAATGTCATGTGCCCCGTTTTGCACGATTTAACTTGTTTATTTTGGAAGGTTTTCTTTCATAATTTTTTTCAAATTTGGTTTGTATGTTTTGATCTAAAATTCAATTGGAATACTTTGTTACGTATGACTTCGTAACAATTTTTAATTTTTTCGTTAATTAAAAATTTGTTATATTGTATAATTTCATTAAAAAGTTGGGACTTTTGTAAATAGAATTAAGTACTCAATAGACATATTATCAGGACATAAGAGGATTTTTACATAATAAACTCATCAATTAATTTGTCTTAAAACTATTTTTTCATAATTAAATTATATCCAAACTTAAAAAATAACGATAATCATTCTTCAATTGTTTTGATTCACAATAATATTCAATATTATTTTTAAAATTATAATTCTAAAATTGGTTGAAAAAATATGGACATCACTCTTATTTCAAAAAGGAATTTGTCTACTTTGTTATAAGTTACTTTCCACAAAAAAGACTCTTAATTGTATTGGTAAAAATACTAAGTAAAAGAATACACTTACACATTAACAAAAGAGGATATAGAACATCGAACTATATCACGCCATTTTAAGGAATTTGCAAGCTTGCAAAAGGCTTGCCTGGCAACAACGAAGTTTGGCGAGCCGTGTGCACCGGCATCCCTACTCTGTCGTTTTATATTAATTTCAAGGTGTGATCCATACTTTCGATCGTTTTAACTAAGGAGTCCGACTTTGTTCCTCCCGCAGTAAAGCTGCGTAGAATTAAGTGTTCCTCCCGAAAATCGGTAGATTCTTAATTTGTTTTTCCCGCAAGGCGGTTGATTATATATTACTCATGAATTTAATTCCCGCAAAAGGCGGAGGTTTATATTTTTGTCTCCAGAATTAAGGGTTGATTTTGAATTTCTATTGATTAATTGATTAAAGTGAATTGAATTGAAAATTTTTAATAATCTTTTACGCGGGTTTAAAGAAATAAATAATTTAAAAAAATACGAATAGGAAAAATGAATACTAAGTGAAATATTAAAATTAAAGGAATAATCACATAAAGTAAAAAAAAGAAATTAAAGAAAAGAGAATCATTTAAGAGAATATTGTGTTGATAAAGTGAATTAAAGAAAAGTTTGAAGTTAAATAAGTAAAATAAAATAGGGAGTGTTAAATATCAAACCTCTGTCCAGTGGTTTGAAAGTATTTTTGTCATAATTATTGTTGTCAAAGAAAGTATCAAAATTGATTACAAGTTTAAATTCGGTGACCCCGAACTTTAAACATTAAAATCAATTTTGATACTTTCTTTGATCAAGTAATTTAAAATATTATGCTGATAATAATAAAGGATCAAATAAAAAGAAATAATTGAAGAAGGATAAAAAGAAAATAACTGAAATAAGGAAGAATTAATTTGTATAAGAGATTCTGTCACAGGTGTGAATCTGAATAATCTACCTGAGAAAAGTAATAGGATACTTTTCTGCTCTTGATAAAAATAATAAAATTGTAAGTTGGTGAGTCAATTATTAGTTATCACACTATTTTACACATGATGACATTTACACATTATTATATTCTATGCATATAAAAAATATAAACAAATATTATTTCTTATTGTAACTAATAATAATCAAATACTATACAAGTTGTATTGTTATACATGAATTAAGAATTTATAAGGAATATGTTTTATTAAAAGGGATATTTTGTAGTAATACTTATTGCTTATTATAAAAAATAATTTTTAAGGGAAATTAAAGATTTTGGTCATTTGTATGATTTTTATGTTAATTTAAATCACATTAAAATAAATAAAACAAGACATATCATATGTTACTCATATTACAAGAAGTGTTTTATTACGGTTTAACAAACTGTTGCCACCTTTTCCTTTTCTACATTTCTTTCAACTAAAATACCGTCTAGTCGGGGTTATTGATTCGATAATAAACCTAAAGAAGAGGTCCACTACCTTTTAAACATAAATAATTATTGTTCCCAAAAGAGCAAAATAACGTTTACCTTGGGATGTTTGATTTTGAGTCTTATTCTATTTAACATATTGAAATTACTTTCAATACAGTTAAAGTTGAATTTGCTTAAAATAAGGATATTATTTAAATAAATAATCAAATTCATCTTTAACATACTTGTTTATAATAAAAATAGTAATACATTATTTTATTTATATTATTTATTTATAATTTCTATTTTAAGTTTATTCACTGAAAAAAAATATTCTTCTTTTGAGAGGAAAATTCTTCTTGAATCAAGAATATTACACTTAATTAAAGAGTATTTTGCTCTTAAGATAAGAGGATTGTTTTTGAGACATATTCAAAAGGAAAATATGCAATAAAAAAAAGGAATCCTCTTAAAACAAAAATATTTTTTTGTTATTTAATTGTTTTTAGTTGAATATTTCTCGCTTCAAAAAAAACATGTTTTAACTGATTTTTTTTTAATTCTATAATTTTATATATTTACTTGTAAACTTTCGTACCTATTAAAAATAAAAAGTAGTAATACAATATATTTTAATACTCAGTGGAGAGTTAAAAAATTTTAATTTATTTTGGAGAGTTTGTTCGTGTAGAGTCGGTCAGTGGAGAGTTAAAAACATTTAATTTATTTTGGATAGTTTGTTCATGTAGAGTCGGTCAGTGGAGAGTTAAAAAAATTTAATTTATTTTGGAGAGTTTTTCCGTGTAGAGTCGATCAGTGGAGAATTAAAGAAATTTTGATTAATTTTGGAGAGTTTGTTCGCGTAGAGTCGGTCAGTGGAGAGTTAAAAAAATTTAATTTTTTTTGGAGAGTTTTTCCGTGTAGAGTCGATCAGTGGAGAATTATAGAAATTTTGATTAATTTTGAAGAGTTTGTTCATGTAGAGTTAGTCAGTGGAGAGTTAAAAAAATTTTAATTTATTTTGAAAGGGTTTGTTTGTGTCGAGTTGAAAAAATTTTAATCTATTTTGGAGAGTTTGTTTGCGTAGAGTCGGTCAGTGGAGAGTTAAAAAAATTTAATTTATTTTGGAGAGTTTTTCCGTGTAGAGTTGATCAGTGGAGAATTAAAGAAATTTTGATTAATTTTGGAGAGTTTGTTCATGTAGAGTCGGTCAGTGGAGAGTTAAACATTTTTTAAATTATTTTGGAGATTTTATTCGTGTGAAGTCGGTTAATGGAGAGTTACATAATTTTTAATTCATTTTGGGGAGTCAGTCTATGTAGAGTTGGTCAGTGGACAGTTATAATTTTTGACTTATTTTTGGATAGTTTATTTGTGTAGAGTTAGTGAGTGGAGAATCGAACTTTGGACATGTGTGTTATTAATTATTATTATATAGAGTCGCCCTGTGTAGAATAAGTCTAGGAAGAGTAAAATTGTATAGAGAATATTAGTTTGTAGAACCAACCATGTAGTATCAGTCTGTGAGTAATCAGAAAAGGTTGAACTGAGTCCCTGCCAAATTTTACTTAAAATAAGCCGTTTTTGAAGTCATTTCATTAACTATTTTTTAAGTTGTAGAGTGAGAGAGAAATATAAAAAATTTTCAAATTTTCTCATTTTTGTCTCTAGACTTCAACTTTTTCAAAAATCTAAAAAAATTTAGATAACATTTTTTTAAAAACACAGAAATCTTCGTTAGAATTTCAGCTTCAAAATAAGCCTTCGAAAATTAAAAAAGGTTAATCCGTCTTCGATATATCATTAAAAATGTGAAGCCGTGTTTCGTCGATTGGTGCATTGGAATTTAACTGTGACGACTCGATTTTAGCTTCGCGTGGCTGCGAATGGGAGAAAAAACAAGGACGAATTTATGCTGGGCAATAATAAATAATGATGTTTCACGAGTAATATAAAGAAACTTGAAAGTTAATCGTTCCCCCGCATGAATTCATCCCTGTTTTCTCTCTCATTCGTTGACGCGCGAAGCCAGAATCGATTCGACACCCCACACAGCACATGATATTTCCTAAATATTTCCTGAATATTTCACTGAAAGATTGAAATATTTCAGTGCAAAGTTCTAGAAATATTTCTGCAAACAGGAAAATGTCCGCTTATGTAGGAATATTGACGCGAAAGTTGAGAAAACATTTCATTGAAATATTTTGGAAATATTCAACTGAAATGATGCGCACTGGTCGAACTCAGTTTCTATGGCCTGTAGAGCTGCGCAGTAGTTTTTGGCTTACTATATCCTATGGGTTTTAAAATATTTCAGAAAATTCCTATTGGTTTGAGGTGTTTAACAAATTTTTCCATTTTGTGAAATATTTTCACAATATTGCAGAATCTTTATGTGTAATATTGCAGGAATATTTCAATGAAATATTTTCTCAACTTTCGCGTCAATATTCCCACATAAGCGGACATTTTCCTGTTTGCAGAAATATTTCTAGAACTTTGCACTGAAATATTTCAATCTTTCAGTGAAATATTCAGAAAATATTTAGGAAATATCATGTGCTGTGTGGGACAGTTGAATTTCAATGCACCAATCGGTCGAAACACGGCTTCACATTTTTAATGATATATCGAAGACAGATTAACCTTTTTTACTTTTCGAAGGCTTATTTTAAAGCTAAAATTCTAACGAAGATTTCTGTGTTTTTTAAAAAATTTGTAAAACAAAAACACACACACACCTAAATTCAATAATACTTTATTCAACGAAGCAAATTGTTAACCTAAATCAGATTCTATGTCTCAATAACCTACATATCGCAATAATTAATTGATCATTGACACATATTATGTTTTGCTTTTCGAATAATTTGACAAGCGAGATTTACTCAATACTTCCAAAGATATTTCTCAATATTATGAGTGAAACATCCAAGTTATTAATTTGTATGTTGTCACTGCCTAATTTTGCAAGGTGGCAATTTGGCAAAACTAAGTAAGGCAGTTAGCCGTTTTGAGTTGTCGAATATACACTACCGTCCGTGAGTATCAGGACGCCCCTTTTTTCATGAGTGGAAAAATGCTTAAAACGTAGAAAATAAGAATGACAAAAATTTTTCGTATTTTTTTCCTAAAAGCTAATGAAATTATAAAAAGACTGACATCTGATCGAAGAATTTTCGTTGACTATTCTGTCAGATACAGAAAAAATACTGGATTTTGCATGCTTTTCGTAATTTTTTAATTTCTCAAAAACTAATTAACTTTTTTTTAGCGTTCTTGGTCTTGTTTCAATCTCTATTCAATGTAGAATCTAAATTAATTAATGGTATTGTGATATAAATTTTTCCAAAAAAATTTTAAACTGTGAAAGTCGGATAAAAAAATTTTGAAAAACAGATTGACACTTTTTCAACAAAAAATTTTTTTTTTAAATTAAATAATTAAGTAATTAAAAATCTTTTTTGAATTTAAGTATATCTATTAAATGAACATATTTTACATTGACCTTTTTGACACTTTAATATTCATGATAATTTTTTGAATTTTTTTAATCCTACTTTTGCGGTTTCAAATTTTTTTGGAAAAATTTATTTCACAATACCAGTTAATAATTTAGATTCTACATTAAATAGAGATTAAAACAAAACAAAGAGCGCTAATAAAAGTTAATTACCCGTGTAGAAATTGCCCTACTAGGGCCATAGTAAGGAATGAAACGCCGCGCCCGATCAGGGCCAGATCGGGGCGACAAGAAAATGTGGATTTCCTGATCAGGGCCACATCGGGCGCGGCGTTTCATTCCCTAATAGGTCGGCCCTATCCGGCCCTGATCAGGGCCCCAGCGAAATTTCTACACGGGTAGTTTTTGAGAAATTAAAAAATTACGAAAAGCATGCAAAATCCAGTATTTTTTCTGTATCTGACAGAATAGTCAACGAAAAGTTTTCGATCAGGTGTCAGTCTTTTCATAATTTCATTAGCTTTCAGGAAAAAAATACGAAAAATTTTTGTCATTCTTATTTTTTACGTTTTAAACATTTTTCCACTCATAAAAAAGGGGCGTCCTGATACTCACGGACGGTAGTGTAGACATCTTCAGTTTTCACAGATTTATCACTGCTTTCGTGCGGGTGTGTTTTTTAATAGCTCGAGGTACTAGCGGTCGCACAATTTCCGCCGGTAGTGTATATCTGTAGGATATCCTAGGAACAACTGGGGATATCTTGAGTACATCCTAGAGATATTCCAATTTCCGGATATGACAAGGTTTTCCGTAGACTTTCTCTTGCCTCTATACAATTTTGTCACAGGGAAGGGTGTTTCTAAAATATGTAAATTATTTCACCTTAATACCTCTAAAAGCCAAGGCTTGAGATTATCATCAATTAGGATATCAAATCCGAAAAATTCGAAACAATTTGAAGACTTTGGAATGCTTGCTGATTGACTTAAAATGGTTAAAATTATTACACAGGTAACTTGCTGCCAAAGAAACCAATCACGGTAACCTGATTGTTCTAAGTATCGTCTTAGCTGTCTCAAACTCCATTTGCAACCTGAAAGTATATCATTATCAGCATCTTAATTTTATTCTTCAACATTATTCTGCTATGCTAAGTAGAGAAGTCTATAACTGACATTTTCTTTTAGGTTGTTTTTCCCGTAGACGAACAAGCTAACATCAACCTAAAAACAAATGAGAGTTTTAGACTTTTTGCTTCCTCGTGAAGGAAGCTTTGTAGTCGTTTAATTTACATAATTTTTAAAAATCCTTTAAACAAATTTTCTTCTTTATAGGACTATGTTATATAAGACCCTGAACAATTGTCCGGATGTATGTGTGTGCGTGGATCCCGTTTTTTGTGAACACGATAACTCGAAGAGGTTTTAACGAATTTGGCTAAAATTTGCCAGGTATATTTAATATTAAAATATCTCGAAATAAATTCATAGACTTTAAAAAATCCTCAGAATTTTTTTTTTACTTTTTCTAAAAAAAAATTTTAAGTTAGCTATTGAAGTTAATATATAATAAAATTTTATTCTTTGCATCAAGACGAATCAATTGGTCTATACGAAGTATAAATTATCAAAAAATGAGTTCTTTCCTCATAATATTATGTTGCTGTACAAGAAAATCTTACTCATTTATTTCTAAAATCTTATTCTTTGCACCAAGACGGATCGATTGGTATATATAAAGTATATATTGTATTTAAATTTATAGAATTAAAACCAATTATAGACAAAAAGTTTGCACTCTTAATAAAAATTCATTTTTTCTTAAAAATCATGTTGCTGTACAATAAAATGTTATTATTTATTTAAAAATAAATCAAAAATCTTATTTTTTGTATCAAGACGAATCGATTGATGTATATAAAGTATATATTATATTCAACATAGAATTAATTACAATTAAAGTTGGAAAATTCACTTTTATACTAAAATTTTTTATGTTTATTTAGATTCATATCACTGTCTAAGAAAATTTTATTCTTTCTATTAAGGCGAATGAACTTTATTTTATAAATGTTAAATTGTATTAAAAATGATTCAAAAATTAAATGTACTTGTCGTTAATGCTTCCTCCACGAGGAAGCAAATTTTTTTTGCTGATCGTAAAGAGGAAGAAAAATGTTCATGTAATGAACATTTGGATTTACAACTTGTCCTGGAGAGAAAACTATTCATCCGATTAAAGTCCCTTTTACATTGTATACTTGTCATGTGAAATAAACATTGTACGCCACATTTCAGCTTCTGGCGCCATCTATCATAAGAGTTAGGTACTCAAATGTAATTTTGATATACTCGCTTACTTGTTTTGACGCATTTAATCTGCCATTGTAAATAGTGATAAACGGTCGGAAAAATGATCGGGTAAATGTTTTCTAAAGTCAAATTTAGTGCTGAACACGAATATCATAATGGATTTTTGATATTCTATTGTTAAAAAATTTTACAACTGTTGTCTTCAAAAAATGTGCGGTTGGGGCGAAACTATTCGCCCACTAATGACAGCGAAAACTATGAAACAGTGTATTTTTGTATGCGTTATAATGGTAAGAAATTGGAAGAGAAAAACTCCTCTAATTAACAAATTAATTTTTATATTTTTTTTAGTATTGTATCATTAATAGTAGGGGATTGCAAATTTACCGAATTTTTCAATTACCGGTAATTCGGTAAAACACTTAAATATAAAACCGGTTTACTGGTAAAAACTATATAGGATTTCACTAATATAATAATAATACAATAATAATAAAACAGCAGAAAATTGTATTGAAGAGAAATTAAACAAAGTGATTTAGCACATTAGATTACAACAGTTTATTTTTCAAAATTTTTATTTAATAAAGCAACACAAACGTAAAGTTCTAATTAATTTTTTTATTGATAAATACTATTATGCAAATGCAATGTTACTTTTATTTTTATTATAACACAATCAAGTTGAAATTTTTTTGAGTATAAAACAGTAATTTATTATTGAATAATAAACGGAGACAAATTTTCAGTTTTAAACAATTTTAAAAAATACGCAGGCAGAAAGCAAAGGCTATTCAAACTTTTATCTCCTAAGCGGGATCGAATTTTAGTGGAAAATAATCCAGCTGCGGAAAATGCTCTCTCAGATTCTACACTTGTTGGTCGAATAGTTAGCAAATAATTATATACCAGTTGTATATATTTCCCTCTTATATTTTCTTCTTGAAAATATTTCAACTCCTTTTTCATTACTTGATTTAAGGATTTAGTCGTTTCGATAACTGGAACATCGTGGGAAGTAGTTGCATTCTCAGTTTTCGTCTTTATTAAATTTTGAAGTTTTTCTTTCATTGACGGTGTAGTAATCTGAGAAGTATTTTCTAATTCGATAATCTGGTCGTCTGGACTATTTTTTACTTCCGATAATTCTGTTTTATTGTTAGTGTACAAAGAACGTTGGATAATTTCAACAATAATTTTTGTTACTGCAGATTTGCTAGCTTGGTTGAAAATCCCATAATTTTCTTCTTTAGAATTTTTTGTCTCATGGTTAGAAAGATATTGAAAAACATCCGAATAATATGTTCGTCTTTCCTTTATGCGATTGACTAATGAGTCTTGTAGCTCACCGCTTAAAAATGAGTTTTGATTAGCCAATTCATCTAGCATGAACTTCAGTGTAACATCGGCAGTATATAAATTAATATCTTCCTAAAAAAGCGTTTCCACGCAAGTTTTTTTTCTAAAGCAACCAATAGGTTGTAGAGCTGATATTGTTTGCGACAACAGTTGAAGTTTATTATTATCAGTGAAACTAATATCGGATTTCAAATCTATGAGGCTTTTTCTAACACAGTTTTTTAAAAATTCGAAACGTTCGAACATATTCAACAAACTATTCTAGCGAGTTTTTGAATCCAATATCAATGAAATTTCTTTGCCGAAATCTTCTCTCACGTAAGGTTGCAAAGTGTCATCATTTCTTGTTAGTGATTTGCGGAAAATTTTGATTACTTTTCGAATCTTATTTACTAGAGAACTTAGTTCAACGATTTGCAAATGGGGATCAATCGACTCTTCCTGAAGTGTTACTTCAAAAACTTCTCCATTTGAATCTACATCGTCGTCATCGTCAGAACATTCAACGTCGTTCTCAGCAGAGTCTTCTTCGTCAAGATTTTCAACTTCAGTTATGTCTGAATTATTTTTATTATAAAGAACATCGATTACACCCAGCTGTATTCCATGTGCGAGACATAATTGATGATGAACTCTCAACAATCTTATTGCTTTTTTCATGACAGAAGCTCCATCTGTAGTAATCGACACAATATTCTCTATAGAAATGTCAAATTCTTTCAGTTTGTTTTGCACGAGAGTTACACACACTTCAGCAGGCATATATCCACGAATACGACTTAATCCCAGATTCCAAAATTTGTTTTTACTTCTGTGCACATTGACACCCTCACAGCACCGGGATATTCAGGATATCCCAGAGACGTCCTGGGGATATCGATTTGTTTTCGGAAGTTTGGATATCTCTGGGATATCCTAGGGACGTCCATGGATATCCAGAGGATAATCCAGGGATATCCAAACTTCCGAAAACAAATCGATATCCCCAGGACGTCTCTGGGATATCCTGAATATCCCGGTGCTGTGAGGGCATTCATGTAACGACGATTTTTCGTCGATGTCCATTCATCTATCGTAAGGCTAAATCCTTCATTATTCAATGTATGCTGTAATATTTTCTTGACAATTTCCAGCTTTATTTTACTTGCGTACTCTAATACAATTTTTTGAATTGTGTTTGGAGATTTTGGAACATCTTTATAACCTTTATTAATCAATAACATTCGCAAATCTTGAGATGAACAGAACTTGACGAAAGGAATTCCATCTTTTGCTGACAATCGTGATATCACAGCAGGAAAGGAGTCATCAATTTTTTTCGGAAAATGTAAAGTGATTTTTGATTTCGAATTCCCGTCAACAATTCGAATCGGATTAGATGGCATATTCGTATCAGCATTATCCGTTTGTTGTGTTTTCCGTTTCAATAAATTAATTTGATGTTGACTTTTGAGGTGACTATGTAAACAGCTAGTACTCCCACCGGCTGCTTTTATACTTTTTGAGCACAAGTTACATACACCAAAATCTTTCTTTTCAGAACGAGTAAAATAATTCCACGGAGAGTTCGAACTCATGTCTACAAAAACATAAAGGTATTAAACTATTGAATTAACGGTGTTGGATGGTCTCTTAAATTTCTCGATAATGTGCGACTAACAGTTATCACCCAACATTTACGGCACTGACCGGTTTAAATGACGTAAAATTGGTAAACATTCATTTTCTAACAAATTTTTCTCTGTTCACAGACACTTTTTACAAAATCCGACAACGTACATTTGTCACAAATGTTTTTAATTGTCTGAATTCAAACGATTTTGTTAATCCATGCAGAAACACGGTTGCAGCATTGGAATTACCATAGCAATGTAATGCGAATCATTTTGACAGCTGAGCCTTTAGGCTCCCTGCATGCTTCTGCCCTCTACTGACAAAAAGGCTGTATCATACGTCTTGCCGCTTGTCATTACATTACTTTTGTATTTCCAATCCTGCAACCGCGTTTCTGCATGGATTAACAAAATCTTTTGAATTCAGACAATTCAAAACATTTGTGATAAAATTTTCAAACCTACCGAAAAGTAAACAAACTTATGATACAATATATTATGATTTATAATTATAAACAAAGTAGTATATTTGAGATTTAACGTTACTGATTTTTATTCTTATAAATTGTATTGTTCAAAATATAACCTCCATCCTGTCAAATTTATTTGGGTTACAAAAAAATGGTCATATCGTGTTTATTCAAAGTTTCCTGTGTTTATTCAAAGTTTAGGTGTCACTGAATAAGAATATACCAGAAAAACATTTTTTCATTCGGTCATTCCCTTAAAAAACGAGTTTAAAGTGTCAAAAACCGTATTTTTAGCACTTTTTGAGGCAGCGTAACAAGAAAACGCAACATGATAAAAAT